GATTTTCACCTTTAGCCTAAGAACAATAGGAAACCATTTGGCAGACTTAATTAAATGAGTGGTCAGAGCAGGTTTTCTTTTTAAGTTTATTCTCGTTGCTGCATTGAGAATGGTCTGAGAAGGAATGGACAAGGAAGATGTGGACAGAGCAGTCAGGTGGTGATAGGTAAGAGAGATCATGGTGAACTGAAGTGGTGGTAGCAATAAGATAGAAGGAGTATTGGACAGGTGTGGAAAGTATTTCTAAGGTAGAAATAGTAGGTCTTTTTAAAAAAATATATTTTATTGATTTTTTTACAGAGAGTAAGGAAGAGGGATAGAGAGTTAGAAACACCGATGAGAAACATCGATCAGCTGCCTCCTGCACACCCCCTACTGGAGATGTGCCCGCAACCAAGGTACATGCCCTTGACCAGAATCGAACCTGGGACCCTTCAATACGCAGGCGGATGCTCCATCCACTGAGCCAAACTGGTTAGGGCAAATCCTCATGTTTCTTAGCAGAAATTGGGGCTGAGAGAAGAGATTTGTCCAAGGACATGTAAGTCCCGGTGCCTGGGCTTAAAGTGTCTTTTGATTCTAAATGTCACCATTTCGTACATCACAGAGTGCTGTTCGTGCACCAGGCTGTACTACAGAGAAAGGAGGTGAGCAGTTTTTCTGATACATCTTATTTCTCTCTGACTTCTAACCCAAGTCTTTTCCAAAATATTCTACCCACAGCATGCACTGCAATTACAGCCCTCAGTAGAGGGGCACCGTGAGCAGCTTGTTGTTCTGTTTCCTTTTACTGCCAATGAGCACGGGGAATTATGTCCGTAGGAAAACAGACAGCTGTGGGGTTTGTTTCTGTTTTCATTTTCAATACCAATCTGGTGTAGGCATCTTTCAGTTATTTGCTGTTCATGATATAAAGGCGCAGAATTGCATATTATATTAGGAAAGAACTGTTTTGATTTTGCTTTCAATTCTTCACTGGTAACATAACCAAAATAATGGGTTACTTCTCCAATCTCATCTCTTGTATGAGTGTCTTTATGGAGTGGCTCATCTGTTCTCTGAGAGTCTTTATAAAAAATACACATGTAGTGAATATTTTTGTATTTTTTTTTTATGTAGGACACTATTTAATACTGAACTTTTTTTGAAAGGCAAATTTCTTTGACTTTAAACTGCCAAAACAAATAGTATGTCTATTTCAGATGAATATGTATCCTTCCTTCTATTAAAGAGCACTGAAATCTGTGTTTCCATATTCACTTTGGCTCCTGGGATCTACAGTGCTAAGTTTCTGAGTTACAGTTGTTCTCAATCAATGTTTAAGTTTTCATACTATATCTTTCTTTTCTTCTTTCATATCTTGGATTTTTCTGATTAATATTAACTGGTTAGTTAATTCTTTCATAAAAATAAACACTTTCTATGTGCCAGGCACTGTGTAGGTTCTAGGAAAACAAAAATGAGCAAGATACACAAGACTATTCTCTAAAATCTGATTAAGATTTTTACAGCTTATTCTGAAGTTTGGAGAGGTGTTCTAAGAAGGTGAAGTTAATGGGACATCTGATAGGTAGAGCATGGTTTGGAGTAAGTGAGAGCGGAAGCAGGCTGATGATGGTAGGAGGATACTGTGGTAGAATAAGAAGATGGTAGTTGGACTAAAGTAGCAGCAGTGGAGATGGTGGAGAGAAAGTTTGAGGTTTACCCCTTAAAACCTGATGATGGATCAGACACGTGGGATAAAGGAAAGACTGAAATAAAGGATGGCTCCTTAGTCTTTTGGTTTGATGGTGACATTTCTGAGATGGATGAGGAGAGAAACATGCTTGGGTGGGGAAATTATAAGCTTCATGTGGGACAGTAAATCTAAGACGCCTATCAGAAATTCAAGTGAAATTTGGAGGTAGTGTGGAGTTCAAGAGAGAGATTAATTATTTATTTGTATCTTTTAATTTTTAGTTAAAATTTACTTTCATTTTTATTTTGTATTAGTTTCAGGTGTATGTCATAGTGGTTACACAATCATTTACTTTACAGAGTATTCCCCTTGACATTTCCAGTAGCTATCCAGCACCATAACATAGTTATCACAATATTATTGACTATCTTCCCTATGCTGTACTAAACGTCCTGTGACTATTTTATGACTTCCAATTTGTACTTCTTAATCCCTTTACCTATTTCATCCCCTCTACTCTGGCAACCACAAGTCTGCTAAGAGAGAAATAATGTTGAAGATAAAATTTTAAGAGTCATTAGCATTAGGACATAGATAATAAATGAAATCATTAAAGGAAGGTTTAGAGAAGAAAGAAGATAGTTCAAAGCTGAGACTTAAAGCACTTCAATATTTAGATGTTAGGTGGAAGAATATTCAACAAAATTCCAAATGCAGCCATACAGTATGGTGCCTTTGAAACCAAGACTGTTTCACAGAAGTGACCTGCTTTGTGATGATATTAAAAGGTTAAAATGATAAAGATAAGTGTATGCTATATTTGACAGGAAAATTTTTGGTGACTTTCATGGAGGAGTGAGGACAGAGCCCAACTGAAATAAAATAAGGTCTGAAATGAACTTCTAGTTTCAGATAGAAGATTAAACACATGTACACCCTAACATCTCGCTAAAAAAAGGAAACAGTAGAATTATTGGTTTTTAATATCACAAAGTTGAAGGCCTTGGGAGAGGAGACAAAGCAACGACATTTCTGAAGCTAGAAAGCAGAAGGATAAGTGGTAACTGACTTAGCAGAACATAGAAAGCCAAATCCTCAGATTAACTGTAGGAGAGATCAGAGCAGCCTTATTTGTGTGTAGAAATGCAGAAAGGCTCAGAAAATGGCAGTACTATGTGCCTCTGCAAATGGCATTGAAAATAGGAAGATCAATTCAAAGTCTTTTTAAAAATGTTTTAGGGCTTCCGGAAGCGCTCGACAGGTTTGAGCAGCCAGGTGGCTGCCATCTTCCTCCTCAGCAGAAGGAGGGAGGATTATTAGCTCCAGAAGGTGGCAGTGGATTCTAAGAAGAGAGACCCTAGGCCAGTGATGGCGAACCTTTTGAACTCAGCGTGGCAGCATTTTAAAAAACCCTAACTTAACTCTAGTGCCGTGTCATATATAGAAATTTTTTGATATTTGCAACCATAGTAAAACAAAGATTTATATTTTTAATATTTATTTTATATATTTAAATGCCATTTAACAAAGAAAAATCAACCAAAAAATTGAGTTTGCCATCACTGCAGGGCCTAGGCACTGCTGAGGGAGAGATGTACTACAGAAAAAAGGAATTGTATAAAAGTCTAATGCAGCATTGTTCAATAGAGCCACAAGATAAGCCACAAATGTGAGCCACATGTAATTTTAAATTTTATAGTAGATATATTTTAAAATATTAATAATTCAATAATCAATACAAAAATTGTTCATTTGATATATTATTTTTATACTGTCTTTGAAATCTAGTGTGCATAGCATCTATATAGTTGAGTATACTTGTAGACATATATCATATATAGCATTCTTATAGCACATCTTGATTTGAATGCTCTACATTTCAAGTATCAGAAGCTACATGTGACTAGTGGTGACCACATTGGATAATGCAGATCTACAGACTGAATGGTTAGAAGACTAACTGACTTCTCCCCATCACTGAGCTCCTAAAATCCTGACAGGCAAGTTATGTCTTTCCGACAGGAAATTAGATTATTTTTTTTTTTTTAGAATCTAAATGGCGCAAGAGAACAGATCTAACATACCAACACTGATGGGTCTCTTAAGGAAATCCCCCAGCCAAATCAACAATGATGAAGTCCAGTTATTGACAACTCCTCACCCCTGGACCTTATGCAGCACCTCCTGTCATATTTTAGTGTCTGGTTATTAATATGAACAAAGAGGTAAGATATCATTAGATATTGCTCTCTAATATGAAAAAATGAAGGCAAAAAATAAATCCCCCAAAAAAGAACTTGAGAAAAAAGAGATACTGCAGGGAGAAAACACTAAGACTTCAAAGGACTTTAATATCCTCATAGAGATAAGAGAAGATATGGTTTTAGGGGATGTGAACAGGATGCTATAAAAAGGTAATATAAAATTATAAGTAGAACTTTAGAAAATTAAAAATGTTAATACCAGAACTAGAAGACCCAGTAGAAGAATTGCATGAAAACTGAGCCATATTCCCAGAACTAAAAGATCAAGTGTTGGAAACTAGGAGGAAAAAGATAATGAAATTGGAAGTACAGTCAGGAAGTTCAACACCAGAATCACAGTAGTCACAGGAAGAAAGAACAGGAAAAATGAGGGGGAAGGATTGTCAAAGAAATGATTATAGAACAGGCTCAGGAATATAAAGACAGGAGTTTCAAGGTTGTCCTGGGCTCACGGGTACAATACCCAGAAACAGAACCATACCAAGTAACAGCAACAGGAAGTTTAAACCATTGGAACAAAGAGACCATCTTAAAAACCTCCACAGAGAAGGAAGAAACAGACTCAAACAACTGATAAGGAATCAGAATTTCATTGATTTTTCTCAAAGAGAATCCAGGAAACTAGAAGAACATTGAGGAATGCCTTCAAAGTTTTGAGGGAAAATGCTTTTTAACTTAGCATTTTACTAAAGCTAAACTGTCAGTCAAAGGTAAGGGTAGAATTAAGATGTTTTCAAATATCCATTGCCTCAATAATTTACCTGCTATATATCTTAATTCAAGAAGCAACTGGAAGAGGTGGCCCCCTACAAAAGGAGAGTAAGCCAATAGAGAAGATGAGTTGGAATTCAGGAAACAGAATATCTAACTGGAAAGACAGGCAAAGGATGTGGCCAGGATGATAAAGTAAAGGGAGCTCCCAGGACCACAGCTGTGCAGCAGGCCTAGAGGGCAAGCAGAAGTTCAGAGCATATGGGAGAGATATTACTTAGACAATAAAATTGATAGAATACTTGTTAGGTTTGAATGTATTAAAAGGAGATTTACTCTTTGATAGAGAGCTCGGGGATGAGTAGTGATAAATGCATAGTAAACAAACATGAAAAAATGAACTCCAGGAAAAATAGAAATTATATCAGAAAAGGAAATGTACTAGTAAGAATACAATACTACACAGTTCAGCTGTGAATAATAATTATACAATTGAAATAAAGTAAATATCGAATACAGACCCAACCAAAAATTGTGAGAGTAAACAGTGTCAGAGAATGACAAGGAGAAGTGTTAGAGCATACTGTACGTGCAGAGGGGTGTGTGTGTGTGTGTGTGTGTGTGTGTGTGTGTGTGTGTGTGTGTTTTGGGGTGGGGTAGGCAGAGCTGTTTTCTCAATAGAGTCAATTGATGGTAATGCCTAAAACTAAACCTAAACAAAATATACTTGTTATTTAAAGATAACAGTTAAATAACAAAAGAAAAAGGGAAATGGCGTGAAGGTTTTTACATCTGGGAATGTAGGCATGAGGGTGGGAGGGAGCTGCTATTTTTTGTAGGACTCTTTATAGAACTTTCTGGCTTTAAGAATATGTGGATGCAAAACTTAGAGAAAAGTAAAATTGAAATTAAAAAGACAATAGAAAAGAGTCTAGTTTTTTACATAAAATGTAAAAGCAACAAAAGAAACTAGTTTTAGGATTACTTGTTAATATAGTGGTTAAGAGCACAAGTTCAAGGAACAGATTTCTTGGGTTCATATTCTGCTTCTCTCACTTATCAGCATGTGACTTTGGAGGAGTTACTATTGGTCAAGGTGCCTGTGTTTCCTACCACTTACCTAGTGTCTACTTCATAGATTTAGTGAGAGGGTTAAATGAGCTAAAATGCATACTAACTATTGCCTAGCAGATGGTAGGTACTCAATAAATGTCAGTTGTTGCAGGTTCCTTTGGCCTGTTAATTGCATCAGAAATCCTTTGAAATGTAGTGAAAACTGAACAGAACTGACAGGCAATATGGGGGGCAGGGGGGAAAATGAGGTTGCTTCCCCAAAACGCCTTACTTTTTTTGTCAAGAAAATATGTGCAGCAGTCACGTACATTTCTCTTTTTCTTAAAAGATTTGATGAAAAGATCCTTTTGGAAAGTACATTTTAAACTCTTTTGGAGATTCACTGCATATGTGTAGCTCGAGCTGAGAAGAACTCATATATAGCTGAAGTAAAGGGGAATATTGATACAAACTAGATTTGAGAGTGACTTGGGAGTGAACTGCTCTAAATCACACCATGACACATCAGACCTCTCCCACACACAATCCATTAATACCTGCAGCAGAACTTTAGGTTTAAAATGCTCAGTATAACTCCAGTCCATTAGACTGCGTTGCTGCGTTTTCTGAATGTCCTCTAACTCTGCTTCCACAGTCATCTTCTTGGGTTGCTAAAAAATCACAGGAATACAATTTCAGCTTTAATCTGTGTAAGTACAAATGGAGCCCTCGTGGACTTCATCAACCAGCCAGCATGCACTCCATCTAATTGGGGAAATCTGCATATGTATAAATCCATATGGCAACATTTTAGGAGACCTGCTGCCAGAAAGAGTATGCCTTTGACATTTTTTTATGGGCAACATAATCTAAATATTTTTATTGTTAGGTTATACTCTTCAGAGTCCTGTTAGCAATTATAGGCAGGTTTTCTGAACTCCCTTCAAGACAGTATTAGTTCTACACGGCTGTATGGTCAGCAGGTGTTTGTGAGGTTGCCAAGCCACATTGTGTAGAGAGGAGCATGGAGCTTGGAAGTTTTGCTTAATCGGGCTAGTGAAATTAACTCCTTTCTCTCCAGTCGGAGCTGGTCTGGGGATTTCTGAATAATCTCTCTCCTTCTCTGGCATCTGCATTCTCTTGCCAAGCATTTTTTTTTTTTTTTTTTTTTTACTGTTTCTTATTCTGGGTCACGGTTTTCTCTGATGATCTTGTCTCTACACTTTTAAGAAAGTAATTTCTTACCTTTTCAAGAGAACCCGCCTTTGTGACTGCCTCATCTTTGATCTCGTTGGTCTGCTCTGTAAATCAAAGACACCAACATCCAGTTGTGTTTGGGCTTTGTTCTTGCCTTTGTCAGTGTTGTGCCTTTTTGTTGCCCATATGATCTATGTTTCTGTGCTGAAAAGGTAATTCCTGAAAGGCATGTTTCATGACTCCAAAAAGGTGTTTGTGTCAATAACTCTAAATCAGTGTCTATTTAGAAAAGTGATACTAAACCCTTTGAAAAGAGCCCAGCTTCCTATATAGACATTCCTAAATCACATCCGATATGCTGGCTTCAGACTGTGCCACTCACGACTATGTACCTTCACCTTTACAAGTTGCAGATATTTACTGATTAAATGGTATCAACTGCTTAGGACACACATTGTCTTGTCATGCTGGCAATGATCACGAAGTCTTCAAATGTCTGTTGGTCTATCTCATGAGCCACAGACTAGGTCGGGGCAGGGGATGTATGCAAAGGAGAACTACTAGATAAATAAACATCAAATGAGAAAATGCACTCTTCTTCCACTCATTAATCATTTATTAATGTGAAAACCATTTAATGAGCATCTATAGATATATAGATGAGTTTAACAAATGTTAGTTCAATAAATGGGTAGCTGGACTCCATGGAACCAGGGACCAATATGAGTCATACACACTAGCTCTCCTTGTGACCCAAGAGAATCCTTATAAAACAACTGGAATTGAGATATGATACTTGGCCATAGAACAAACAGCCACATGAATGGGCAGAGAAAGAACAGCGTCCTGCTATTGGTCTCTGCATCACCATGCTTTTGTAGTTCCTAAAGTTAACAAATGTTACATATAAAAAAGAGGTCCATGATAAATTAGTGTAACATGGATAAACAACCATCTTTACTGTGAACATCTCAAAATTTGTAATACACTTTTGGGATTATGAAACTCTAATAGAGAAATTGATAAAGTATATAGCACATTCCAAATTTGACCAAAGAAATGGAGTAGGAAATGAGTTTTGTAAGATATTTGTGGTGCTACTGAATCACTGAGCCAACCTGACTTTATCACCCTTAGAATAATAGAAAATTAATACCTATAAAGTAATATATGAAAGGGCTCCAATCTCTCTCTCCAAATGCATCTCCCTCCACTCTCTCTTGTTCATTCCACTTCAGACTCACCAGCCTGATTGCTGTGTTATTAAGTTTTTGCACTTGCTTTTCTCTGTCTGGCATGCTTTGCTTTGAAATATTCATAGATTGCAAATTCTTACTTCATTCATATTGCACAATGTTACCTCTTCAAAAGCCTTCTGCCTCATACCCTGTTTCATTTTTAATCATGGAATTTATCAGTTCCTAATACTATTTACAATAATTGAGGGGGAATCTACATCATATATTGAAACTGGAAATCTATGTAGAAAGAGCAGAAATGTGGCAGAAACCCTGCAACAAAAGCTTGTTTGGGGGTAAGCATAAGATTTGTGTCAAAGAGAACCATATCTAGGCTTCCAGAGAGAGTAGTTAATTATGTCTAACAAGGAGGGGACAATGTTTTTCTTTCTTCTGGGAGCACAGCTACTTACATTTTCATTACTGGTTCCATTCTGCCTTGGGCTGCTGAAGGTGACAGCATGAATGTTCCATTTTGATTTAGAGTAAAACTATAAAGTCAGTTCAGTTCAGTATTTATTTAAATACATCCACTCAAGAGAAAACTCAGGCCAACTATAACTCTAAATAGACCATGATGTCCCATGTGTCCTTGAGCAATTGATATGAAATTTGTGGAATAAAAATTATTCTATTCTGTGCTATGCCAGATTTCCAGGAGATTTGATACTCCCTTCTGTGTTTAAGGATCCAGCAGAGAGTCTCCAGTTTAGAAAATATGTTCTGAAAAATTGTGCATCAGTTATTTTGTCAAAGGAATGAACATTCACAAACTAATCTGAACTCTTTAATAGAAGAGCAAATATCATTTTTTTCTTTCTTTCTGATTTCAGCCTTCAACCACATAACCCTTTGACAGTGTGATTCAGTAGTTTTTGACACATCTGGAAATAGATGCGTTCTCATCCCTTTGAAAAACAGCTTTCCTAATCTGTTTTACTTTAGAGATAACAAGATCCCTCTGCAAAGCAGTTACTTTATTAAAAAAACACCCAACAAGCATAAAGGGCACATCTAAACCTATAGCCTCATGGTTATCAACTCTCAGTTTTTCATAAATATCCAATAGGCCCTGTCAAGTTCAAAAACAGTCTCAGATGGAAATCCAGTGTTTGGTTAAGAAAAGCACAAATATTCAGCCCTTCATGTCCAGGAAAAGGCTTTTATATGTATTTGATGCTAAGATGGTTGTGCAAGAAATACATTAACAATTTCTGCTTTGCTTAAAAAGATTTAAAGTGGCTGCTTTAGAAGTGTGAGACATAGTTAAGGGGAAAATGCAAGATCACCACAAAAAAAAACCCTCTCATCTACAATAGCCACAGTGAGGCACTAAGCTTCAATTGCCCTCCCTGGTTCAACTGTAACTGTTCCTTGATGTGGGCCCACAGGTGCCATGTAGAATCCCTTCAGAGTCTCAGCTCCAGCTCTCAAGATTGGTCAGTCTTCAGGACACACTGATGATGTTCAGCCTTGACCATTTAGGAAGTTGCTAGAGCTATCTACTTTTCACACAGAATCCAGAACACCAGATTATGTGGTTTGACCACCAGGTGGCAAAAGTTGCCCAAGGAAAACCATATGCCAGTTGCTCTAAAGGAAAAAGAGCAAAAGCAAAACAAAACAAAAAACAAAGGAAAAAACCCTAAGGTTAATATCTCTCTTGGCTTATTCTGGCTCCATATTAATTCAAAGTGACTTATTTGTCATATGTATATATTTCCATAGGAGGCCTTAATGCTATACCATCCCTGGTTAACTTATTGATATACTCTATTTTCTTCCTTTTAGTTTATTTGAATGTAGTTAATCTTTAACTATTTGAAGTTGATGTTTAATGTTTAGCTAATTAATTTTAGCTATCTTTTAAAAAATGTATTCATTTAATGTTTAAAATATGTTCTTTTAAAGCTCTGCCTATCTCCTGCTGTATCTGCGTTATATAGATTTTGATATTCAGAATTTTAATTATCGTTCAGTTCAAAATATTTCCTAGTTTCTATTGTGATTTTTTCTTCAATAAGAATATACTCTGTAGTTTTGATCCTGTGAAAATTTGTTGAGACTTTTTTCATGTTTTAATATATGGTTTTAATATCTATATCTATATCTATATCTATATCTATATCTATATCTAAATCTATATCTATATCTATATCATAAAAGCCTAGCTTGCTGCTGGGGTCTGGCCATTTGGGACTGAGTGAGACAAGCCAGACACCCCCTGGTGCCTTCCCATGGTCCCTCCCAGGCTGGCCAACCTCCTGCGTCCCTCCCCAGTCCCGATTGTGCACCAGTCAGGTTTCTAAGCCTGGCCTGAGCCCTCTGGCAATCTCCCCTCCCCCCAAGTACATAAATTTCATGCACAGGGCCCTCACCCAAGGATATGTTTTAGAGAGCGAGGAAGGGAGAGAGAGAGGGAGAGGGCGAGGGAGAGGGAGAGGGAGAGAGAGAGAGAGAGAGAGAGAGAGAGAGAGAGAAAGAGGAACATCAGTTGGTTGCCTATGGTACGTACCTCAAACCAGGGATTGAACCCACAATCTTTTGGTGTATGGGATGCTCCAATCAACTGAGCCAGCTGGCCAGGGTGGTATATGGTTAATATTTTTAAGATAAACATACTTATGGCATTTAAGAAGCTATAGTGTTATAGAGGCTTGAATATAGGCATATGCATTACTGTAATAAGTAGGAAATGACAACTAATGCAATGAAGGAAGTGTAGACTAACTGTTACCATGGAAATGCTAAGGAGGCATTTCCAGATGGACACATCTAACAGAGTCTCATGGAGGTGCTAGTGAAACCTAATCATCATAAAGAAGAGAACCCGAGATGGAGCAAATTGTGGGGAAAAGGCACAGGGCCTAAAAAGAGCAGGTTATATAGAGGCAAAAGGGCCTAATTCTGTTTGACTAGAGCATGAGATGAGTGAGCAAAAGGTAAAAAGTGGAGGGGGTTTTGGGAAAGTAATTTAGTACTATTGTTAAAGCATGTAAAGCAGGCCAAGGAGTTGGGTTCTATTTTGCAAATAGTAGGGAGCCATTGAATGTTATAAACAGGAAAGTAACTCAGCTGTATTTGAAGTAATTAATGTGACAGCTATATGTATGACAGCTCAATAAAAATTTAGCTTAATATTTTTCTACTTCTATACATCCAAATATGACAATATATATGACACTCTATTCTAGAATGAGAGGAATTACATGAGCTATAAGGAGGAGAGGAAAGGGATCAATGTTCATTGAGTATTGATTTTGTATAAAGCTCTGTACTGGGCGGTTCATTATGTTATTGCAAGTAATTTTAAAATAATTTTTCACATAAGTATACTAACTCTGAAATACTAGTGATAAAAGTTTTGATTATGTTTAAGTTACAATAATATTATTCATAATTATATTTTTAAGTAATAAAAAATAAGCTATATTTACTAAGGTAAGAGTGGACTAAGAGGCTTTAGGATATTTTAAAAACAAGGGTTGAAATAAAAAGGATTTATTGACTAGTAACACTCATTAACAAAGTTTAATTACACAAAAAAGTTTTTCAATTGAAATGGATAGCAATTAAAATAATGCATCTTGAATCACTCTTTTGGTGTATACATTCTTAATAGGTCTATACACACACACACACACACACACACACACACACACACACGCGCGCGCGCTCACTTACCCAAAGGTTCAGGTTGTTGCTGAATCTCTAAGCTGGCCTCCTTTTCTGACGACTCTCTATTATCAGGCTCTAAGGGTTTCTCATTATTCGGGTCAGAATGCTTCATATTGTCAGCATCAGGTTGACTAGGATTTGAAGGTTCATTATTGATCTCACTATCTTGAACATTTTTTGACCAATTCTGATCCATAAATATAATGTTGTCTTTGGGTTCAATATCTAATCAGTGTAAAGAAGATTCATGAGCTACCACAGTAGAAAAATCAACAACCACAAAATGCAAGAATGTCTTTTGTTCCCTCCATGCAATGTACCTGTTTCGAGTTTGGCCTCTTGGGTGTTCATTTTTGCAATGTACTGTTGCCTTATTTGTTTAGCAAATCTGGCAGGGTTGTCCCATGGTATGTTGAAAATTTCAGAATCTATCCCATATATTTTCCTAGAAGGCATTAGTATCCCTTCTTCATCAACCTCAGAGAGTTTCAGGCTCTCAAAAGTAAACACTTTGAAGGCTCTTTCTACTTCATTCCAGCTCAAGGGTTCTGTAAGAAAGCAGGATCTGTGCTGCTAGGATGCTCTTACGGTACAGGGGGGCAACCAGTGGTGGGGCGGGGGGTGTCCACCAGAATAACAAGGGAGTCACACCATATGGGTGTTGATCCGACTAATATGGGCTCCGCAATTCTACAATAAACATCAAAGGCACCTAATAATAAGAAAGCTACATAATCAAGATATAATTTATCAAGATAATGCTCCCCAATTACTTCATAGCTTAATAAATATTAGGTGTCTAGATTAATTCACATGGACTTTCCAGGGTACCACATTGGTAGAATATGCTTAAAACTTATTCTTTTAAAGCAAAAGCACCCTCTGCTATTGTAATTTTAAACAAAAAAATTACTCACTTGTGTCTAACATATGCTATTATATTCAGTAGAATTTCCTCTTCATGAGGACTAGAAAAGGCCTCTTTCCACCCACTTTAACTGGTGCTATGGATTCCATAACCGCACTTCAAAAGTTATCAGCTTTCAATGGGATCTATTCATTTGCATATTTACTCTTTTACACTAAGTGCATCTATCCATTCACTCACTCACTCACTCATTCATTTTTATTTTCTATGCATTAGGCTTTCTGATAGGGGCTTGAGACTCAAAGAAAAAATTTGGTTCTTGCATTTTAGAAGTCCAAGGTAGAGGGGTGAGAGGTAGGTATTAACAACTAATCATATAAATCAATATAAAAATAATTAATAATTTGCTTAGAGTTAGAAAAGAAATGAGAAGGAAGAATCTGCCCATGCTTTATTGTAAAAAAAAAAAAAGATGTTTATGTAATTTCTTATTCCTTCTTATAAGTAGGAATGTATCTTTATACAGCTTCAGGTGGAAATAGAATTTGTTTTAGAGAATGATTGTCTATAACATAAAATTCCAGCAAACTCTGCAATGAGAAGCTGATTTTAGATAGTCTTTAAATTGATTTTTTTTTTTTTAGAAAGAGAGGAGGGGAGGAGAGAGAGAAACAGGGATCTGCTGCTTCTTTTATGCCACCTACAGGAGATCGAACCCATAACCGGGACTCGAACCGATAAACTTTTGGTGCACAACCAACTGAGTCATACCAGCCAGAGCAGATCTCAGATATTCTTAATGACCCCTCTTTCCCACCATTCTTTAAGAGCATAAAATGGCCCTTCCTGTTGGGAGAGGAGGTTCAGTGGATCAACACACCATCAGCACCACCCCGACAGGAGGCTCTCTCCTCCATCTATCTTTCTAACTACAATAGGGATTCCCATATCATCTCCAATGATGTCAACGAGGAGATATGACATACGGGGTGGGGAGAAAGAGAAAATAAAAAATATACTATTCTTGTTATGGAAACACAGTAGAGCCAAAACCCAATGCAGCAAATTGAAGAAGGTTAAGCATTGTAGCTATCATTAGTATTGCTAACAACATTATTCAGGATAAGAAAATTGTAGTCAATCAAAATACCCACCCCCGGACTCTGAAAGGTCTTTCAACAATCAAAATACTTTAGGGTATAATCTAAAGAGGCACACAAGACCATAAGTGAATGAGTTTAAGCTAAGATAGAGCAGTATACTCACCATTTGTACAAAAGTGCATGAGCTCATGGATTGTAGCTAGACGTTTTGTGCTATTCCATGGTGGGGGCAGAGGGAACTCAAGAAATTCCCATAGTGGCAACTTGGACTGCATCTCTTGCTCAATTTGAATTGGGTCAAAATTCTTTTGGTCCTGATGAAAAAGAGCAGCACAACAGAAGACATGAAAGCAGCTGCCAAGTGACTCATGCATATGGAGAAGGCAAAACATAATACCTTCCCTCTCATTATTTGGGAACAGGGGAAATCACTGGTAACTGGGGAAGACAAACTATTGGTATTTTGCTGAGGGTCACAAAAGCTAGTTCTCACTTTGCCAGAGGTTCCTGGTACATAGAAATGACAGATTCTTCATTCACAGTGACAAACTGCCAAAGTCTCATATGTACTCTTCTCTCCCTTCTGAGAATCTTTTCTGGCCTCTACTAGTTTTTCATATTAGCAGATATTTAAAGCAAATAACTATAAAGTTTTAATGCAAATTTGGTGTAGCCATAATCAATGTGATGATTAACTGGACCACTATCATTAGGCAAGCTTTCTTTGCTGACATAATTTCTCCCTTATCCATTTCCGTTTTCTGAGCTCTCACTTTGCAAACAGGTATTTATTTTGTGTATGATGTGTAATTGACATTGGCAAGGCTATCAGATTAATATTTCTTTAACTGAGTAATTACAAACGGGCTTTCCAGAGGCAGTCATCCTCAGGGTAGGTGGGTTACTAGTACCTTCAGTGCATACTTCTTGTGGGCGTGCACATCATGGTAATTCAGCAGCAAAGGGCCTCTGGGTGCTGCTTTGCTTTCACTTTCTTCTTGAGGAAAAAATATCTTATGGAGATTCTATTCAAATGGAAATAATACTGATTTAAAGAGAGAATTTATACTTTTTCAAAGCATGTAAGCACTTGGCTCTCTCAGGCCATCTGACCTTTTTCTCACTCTCAGTGAGGCAGAGAGAGGGCAGGATGGACACAATGTGAGCTGCGATTCTGTGGTCCAGCCCATCGGCTCTGGGCGGCAGCTCCACCAGACTGGGTGGCATGAGGTCTTTTTCCGTTGCCACAACCTGTTATGATAAAGAATTGGGAGGAACTGGTTTAATGGTCAGCTCTTTATGATATTCATGTATTTCTATTGCTCTTAGTAAAAACCAGGCAGTTTCCACAAATAAAATACAGTGCTTAGACAAAGTGGTAGTATAATTACCACTGACTAAAAAATATATAACTTTAATATATGTATTAGAATAGATAACAAAATACAAATGGTAAACAAGAAAATTTTCTATGATAGAAATCAAAATAACAGTATAATTTTTTCTTAGTGATTTACTCTTTCTCTTAAAGCAAAAGAGTAATAAATATTTATTGAGTGCCTTCAGATTTAATAAATATTGAGTGCCAACCAAATGCCTAGGACTATGTGGTTCACCTTCATGTACATTATCTCAGTTAAGCCTCACAATAATGCTCTGGGTGGACTAGATATTATTTTCCATCACAGAGAAAGAAGCCAGGGTGGACTGAAGTTAGGTGACTGGATCAGGCCCAAGGCTACTGACTTGGAGGAACTGGGGTTCAGGTCAAGTCGTCACTCTTTCTTTAAGATAGAAAAGTTACAGATGGATGGTGAGGTCAGTAAAGGGCAAGAGACTCCTGCATAAAGGAGAAAGTGAGGCCTTAAAAGACTGCAATCCTACTTTTCCACTCACATGGACTGGTTTTAAGTAGGAAGCAGTTTCTGCCACTTACTATTTGGACCAGTTACTTAACCTTTTCATGCCTCAGTTTTCTTATCTGTAAAGTAAGAAATAAAAATAGTTCCTGTTTCATAGGGTTGTTTGAAGGATTAAATGAGTTAATAAAAAAACTCTTCTCAAATACATGTTAAAAATTCACCAGTGACCATGTACACCAAATCACTCAAAAAGTCCAGATCATTAAAAAATATTTTAAACATGCATATCATGTTTACTAACCATAACAAATAGTGTCAAGAAAAAGAAAAATCTTTAGAATTGAGAACATCAGGATGTAGCCAAAGAAATACTCAGATGGAAACATGTAGACTTGTGTGAAGTAAAGGAGAGTAAAAATAAATAGAATAAGCTTTCAATTAAAATGAAATACAAACTAAACCCAAAGAAAGCAGAAGGACATAATTACGATAAGTGAGGAGAAAAAAAAGGTAAAAAGGAGTTGATCAATGAAACCAAATGCTGGTTCTTTGAAAAGATAAATACAAATAGATATATCATTGACATCCATGATCAATAAAAGAGAGGGTACAAATAAATAAGATCAGTGATAGAAAAGGAATATAACCAGATATGAAGGAAATTTAAAAATGCATATAAGTGAATAAAGAACTTTGTATGATATGCAAAACACAAATAAGATTGACATATTTCTAAAAAAAACATGAATGCCTGAAGTTGGCCTCGGAAATAGAAAACTCTGATTAAATCTACAAGTATAAAAGAAATGTTAAAGATAGTTAAAGACCATTAAACACCTTATCCACCTATCCAACTCCTTTTTCTCTTTCATTAAAATGACAAAAGACATAGACAGTTTTAAGGATTTGAAGGAATGTTATAGAAACATTGTTAGAGAAACAATTCCAGAGCATAGCAAAAGAAAGGGGATTGAAGATCAAAGCAAACTTTAGTTTTATCTAAAATGTTCTAATCTTTGTACAGGAAAATGCATTCAGGTATTATGTATGTAATTTTAAAATCATTTTTAAAAATGGAAGCAATGAGAGAGGCAATGACTGAACAGGTCGGTTATTCACCTACCTGTTCCAGCATACAGTGCAGTATCAGGGGCACAGAAATGAATTCTTCCGGAATTGGATTCAGCAAATCATTGTAATATCTCATGTCTACTTCCGTTGTGATGACAGAAGCCACTGTAAAATAGACAAAATGTGATTGCTCAATCAAGATGCACTCTCCAGGTCTTCCAGTAAAATCTCATCCACCGATTCAGACTATGACCCTGCACTATCAGGCAGAGGATCTGCAGGGGAAGGGATAACTAAAAGCAGTACAGTGGACAGTTACTATTCCAAAGCCCCAGCGCATGGCCTAGAGCAGTGGTTCTCAACCTTCCTAATGCCGCGACCCTTTAATACAGTTCCTCGTGTTGTGGTGACCCTCAATTTCATTGTTACAAATTGAACATAATTAAAGCATAGTGATTAATCACAAAACAATATGTAATTATATATGTGTTTTCCAATGGTCTTAGGCGACCCCTGTGAAAAGGTTGTTCGACCTCCAAAGGGGTTGCGACCCACAGGTTGAGAACCGCTGGCCTAGAGCCTCCAACAACAGGTCTCATACGTGCTGATGGTAGAGCTTGTAATTCTTCATTTTGTGCTTTCTTCTTCCCAGGGGTTGGGGCAACAGGTTGTGGAGCCTAAAAGAAGAAGAATTATAAAGAAACAACTGAGATGTCCAGCTGGGAGATGCTTTCGTAAAATGCGGGTCTGATGGGATCTGACAGGATTCTGAGATTGTATGATTATGTTCCCACCACAAAATCATGTGCTGATATTAGGCTCAAACAAAAGGAAGAAGTTAGTGGGTACAGACACTTTCCCATTTTTCCTAACAGAGCTCACTAGCCAGGAATGTGATGGGGAGAAGGGGTACTGAGAGTCAAAAAGCTTTTCCTCCCTGGGTGACTCCGAATCATGCCATTCTTCCCTCTCAGAATCCTCCGATGGTCCCCATCACCTTTAGGAGGAGACTCAGACTCTTTAACTCAGCACCAATGGGCATCCTGGCTCCTACCCAGCTTTAGTTCATGCTAATATTCGCCACTGTGCCCATATGGCCTGCGGGCACCGTGGTCCTGGTTTGTGCCATAATAATTCTTTTCTTTGACCTCCATGGCTTAATACATCTCTGCCCCTTTCTTGAGAAGGCCAGTCTGTCCCTTTCCCTCATCTGGCTTTGCCTTAGGCAACTTCTACTCAGCCTCACCACATCACTGACCCGCCTGGTAAGGTTTTCCTGCCTCCTCTCTTTCCTGCTCCTCCAGACCAAGGTAGGTGCCATGTTTTACGGCTTCTCCTGAGCTGACTGTGCTGAAACTGCTCTTGACTTGACTGCTGTCCTTTTTAAAAGTTAACCTCCACAGGAGGACAGGGGGGGAGTCTTGCTCATTGTTGCAAGGTCAGACCTCACTCAGCATTAGCACATTATAGGCGCTAAGCAGATATCATCATTAACCGACTGCCAGCTCTCCTTGTTCCAGACCACTTACTGCACAATGGGCTGGGAATGGTGGGGCACCTCTGCATGTGGCAGGGAGCTGGGGAGCTTAGAAAGCCCCCACCACATAGGTACTCTTTCAGACAGTCCCTGAGTGGTCTTCCCTTGATCCTATCCTCACCTATTAAATCCCAACAGGCAGTATGACCTTGCTACAAGTATTTATATGATGTTTTCTTCATATGTTTTATAAAAGTGAAAATTAAGTTGTTCAGTTAATCATTCCATTCATGAAAAGACATTTGAGCACGTGCCTACCTCAGAAGCTAGCGTGGCTTCTAAGATAGGTTTCTCACTAACCACGTGTGGGACCTTAATCAGCTGCATGCTCTCCAAATAGTGCTGATGCTGCCTTTTCCAGTCCAGGGTGTCGTACATCAAACAGGCAATGCTTTCAAAAATGCTCGTGCCCAATTCCAGCTATAGGTGACAGAATTGGTGAAAATCAGTTACTCATTTCATATTGTTGGAATCAGATATATGGTGTGTATCTACCTTAACAGCTAAACCTATCACTTAAAAATGTTGTTTTCTTTTTCAATTACAGTTTACATTCAATATTATTTTGTACTAGTTTCAGGTGTATAGTATAGTGGTTAGACAATCATATACTTTATAAAGTGTTCTCCCCCATATTTCCAGTACCCAGCTGACACTGTACATAGTTATACAATACTGTTGACTACATTCCCTTTGCAGCACATCCCATGACTGTTTTGTGACTACCAATTTACATTTCTCAATCCCTTCACCTTTTCCACCCTGACCTCAGCCCCCACCCCTCTGGTAATCATCAGTCTGTTCTCTGTATCTATGAGTCTGTTTCTGTTTGATTTATTTATTTATTTATTTATATTGTTCTTTATTTTCCATATATAAGTGAAATCATATGGTATTTGTCTTTGACTGACTGACTTACATCACTTAACATAATGCCCTCTAGGTCTATTCATGGTGTTGCAAATGGTAAGATTTCATTCTTTTTTTATGGCTGAGTAGCATTTCATTATGTAAATGTAACACTCATCTATTGATGGGCAATTGGGCTGTTTCCAGATCTTGGCTGTTGTGAATAATGCTGCAATGAACACAAGGGTGCATACATTCTTTCAAATTAGTGTTTTGGTTTTCTTCAGATATATACCCAGAAGTGCAATTGCTGTGCTGTAAAGCAGTTCCATTTTTAATTTTTGGAGGACCTTCCACACTGTTTTGCACAGTGGCTGCACCAATCTGCATTCCCACCAACAGTTCATAAGGGTTCCCTTTTCTCTACACCTTCTCCAGCACTTATTTGTTGATTTATGATGATAGCCATTCTGACAGGTGTGAGGTGATACCTCATCGTCAAACCTATCACTTTTTATAGGAAAGCACTTCCCCAGCCACTGAATCCCAGCCATGGCACCTGAGTCTTCCTTTGTTGAACTCTTCTTGTTCACTTCCTTTTGGAGGGCCTTATGGCTACCTAATATTGTTAGGAGCTGAATTAATGCTTGAACTGAGTAAAAAGCACCCTATTCATTCGTTTCAGCAGTGTGGCTTATTTTCTCGGTACCTCAGTTTCTAAAACAGCACATCAGATAGGTAATTTCCACTTCCTCAGCCCAAGGTCAGCTGCGCATGGTTTCTCGCTGGGCTATGCAGGAGGCACATGGGAAGCACTGCACAGCTTTGACATCATCCGTGCAAGTACACTGCAGTGTGTGCAGTCAGTATTTCTTCCTTTCCTCCCTGCCTCCCCTTTTCTTTCACCTGTGCTACCTTAAGGGAAAAAACAACAACTAAGAAATCCTGATAGACCACCGCTCCTCTAATACCCACAAATTTTATGATCTGGCAGGTCAGTTATAAATCAGATGCTTCTATCACCTGGGCTTTCATTTCCAGAAGTAGAAAGGCACTGCTATCACTAGGTCTGTCTGCTTGAAAGCAAGGGAGGATTCAATAGGCTCATCCTATGTTGGAGCTGCAGAGGAAGGTAGGGTGAGATAGCTTCTTGTGGGGCCCGTGATCACAGGCAGGCAGGAGTCAGGGCAGTGTCTAGCTCGGCCCATCTTCACAGCACACCTGTCAGTCTGGTCTTCAGGTGTCTACTCTCATTCTGTGCATTCTTCAGTTAAGCTTCAGCCTGGTATTTACCCAAAGCCTGGCATAAAAAAATGTTTTTGTTTGTTTGTATTTTAAAGAAATATAGTAAAAGTTCTGCCCAGTGACCCCTTAGTCTAACTAGTTAATTTATTTTTAAATCAAACAGCAAATCATATGCTAAAAGCCAGAAAATTATTTCAGCAACCCAGGTCTTAACTTGAGATGTTACAGATGTCTTACATGAGCAAGTTAGCACTTCTTGATGGGCATTTATTTGATGTAAAGCTTTCATTACCTTGGTTGAGCAGAAATACAGCCTGCCTGTTTGCAGCCAAAGGTACTAATGCTTTCCTTCCTCCACAGAGGAAGAAGGCTCTTTGTCTGACTCCTGCCTTGGATATGAGGCCATTAGCAACTTAAAGACATAGCTGAGAGTGTGACACCATGTATCTATACCATGTATCTAGTCTACTTCTACTAGAAGTAGCTATGTTTTGTTTGATTTTTTTAATTAAATTAAATTAATTTTTATAG